GGGGGGGGAAGGAGGGGACACACTAGGAGTCAGAATAATCTCCGTGGCAACGGGTTTGGTCCTAGCTCAGGCCTTTCTCCGGTGGAGCCTACTGAGTGGGTATGGATCTTTCCGTTAGTAGCTGAACTATCGCACCAACTGAAGGTCTTTAATGAGTGGATAGAACTCAGTATCTCTTTGCTGGCGGGGAAAGAAAATGATTTCATGTACACCTCATACATGGATTAACCTAGAGTGTAACCATCATCAGACGATAATCACTGTGAAGTGAAACAGGGAGGTCCACATTTGCATCCACCTGGCTCCTGGGGTCTGCCCTGCAGAACGCGCTCAAGACAGCACTCCTGCCGCACAGCGGGGCTCGGGGGGCCACCACCAGGAGCTCGCATAGCCCAGCAAGTCCAAGGGCTGGAAGATGAAGTGCACTTGCGTCGCCCTCCCACGGACACACGTGGCTGAGAGAGCACGGAAGGAAAGGAGCGGCTGGCAGAAAGCAGCTGCCTTTCTTCTCCTCCCTCCGCCTCTCTCTCTCATCTTGTTAAGTGACGTGCTGAGGGAATGGCTCCTTTCCAGAGTAAAACTCACACAGAGTATCTGCCTGCAGGCACAGGCTGAAGGTACTCACTACGAGCAGCCAACAGCCCCTGGACACTTGACATCGCCCGCAGTCACGTGTTCAAAAGACTGGAGCGAGCTGAGAGACATGGAACGAGGAACGCAGGTTGGGGCAGGATCAGCTTTTGCTGGGGCTGTAATGTTTTATTACCGAAGAAAGGAAAAGAGCAGACAAGGCCTGAGACACACACGGCAAAAATGGATGTGCTGAAGTAAGATACAGGCCTCTGGCTGGTGGTTATGTTTGTTTATAATACTAAATAATAAAAATACAGTTGCAGGGAAATGATGGCAAAATACACATGGTGATGCCACCTACAATCCTCAAGAGGGTAAATGGGATTCATTAGTAGATTTTTTTCTTCCCTATGGTTTTAGCTTAGGGAGTTAACATAAATTAAATGCATTTTTTAAAACATCAGGCAGTTAACGGCAAACTTTGTTGTTTCAACCCACTGCTAACAATTCCAGTAAAATAAATCTGAGAAACTAAGACTGGCCCAGAAAGCTCCCTTTAATCTCGGGAACTCAGCCCTTGTTCGAAGATGGTGACCTTGGAGGCATGAACTTGGCCCTCTGCAAGAGGAAGTCTTCGAGTGGCAAGATCTTTCAGGATGAGGCAGCCAGAGCACCGTTGGTGATGCCGTAAAGGAACTTCTCCACAGACAGACGCTGGGTGGGCTGTGGAAGTCAGACATTGCTGAGACCTGCCATTCGCTTCATGCCTGCTCGGGGATAGGCACAGTTCTCTCCTCGGTGCCAGCGGGCAAGGCCAATGAAGTTCACAGAGTAACGAAGGGACACAAGGGCAGTTCCTAGTCCCCCCTGCTGCTGGCTGGCCAATGGTTTCACTCAACCTGCAGGGCTCCTGTCTTTTCTCGGGTCAGCTCAGGGGACAGCGGTGTTCCAGCCCAAGGCGTGGGGAAAGGGCTGCTGCAAGCCGGCGTTCCCAGAACCCGAGAGAGCAAGACAAGGAAGGGAGGTCATTTTGCTGGCTGGGATCCTGGGGCAGGTTCATCTGGGAGCAAAAGTCTTTACCCAATCTCTGCTCGCCACCCCTGCCTCACGTGAGGGCGCCAAGCACACACAGGAGCTGCCGGGTCAGAAGATCAAGTCCCTTCTGTCATGGGGTGCTGTGCTAATGGGCCCTCCAAGCCCTCGTTAATGCAGGATTTGCTCCTGGTCTCATGTCACTCCCTCGCAGGCTGCGCTGTGAGAGAGCTCAGAATGACGGGAGGTTTCATGGAATGGCAACCTTTTATCTTTTTCAATAATTAAATTTACAGACCCGGTGACTTCATTCGTCTTTCAACCTAAAATTTGAAAACCACATACCACAACTTATTAAATATGGAAATGATTCTCCTTTAAACACACTGCATGTTCAGTGCACAGCAGTCAAGTCTAGCGGTCTCCTGCTGATTAGGTCTAGGTTTCTGAGCACTTTGTGGCAGTGACCTGGCCAATCTTCGTCAGGAATTCGTGGCATGCTCGGAGAAGAAAGTGTCAGTAGCGTTATGAATGGCATGTCATTGAGCTATGCGCCTGGCTACATAAACAGGTAGGGTGCTCAGTGAAGGCCACGCTACTGCCTCTTTCCAATCAGGCAGGAGCCTGGTCGATAGGACCTGTCAGAGAAACTCACCAGAAGCCCTGTCCTCCGACAGCCAGAGCCCCGTGGAAAGGAGCCCCGTCCGTGCAACTTGGCTCCCTCGGGCCCTCACGCTCTAGGTGGGACTCCCTCTGGGTAGGGCCGTTGTTGGGTCTGAAAATGATGGTCCCCTGAGGGCTTCTCACACAGCAGCAGGCAGGCGAAGGCCTAGCTCACCTAACACACGTCCTTCTCCCCTTGACCAGGGAAGATTAGCTGGGCCACTTTCATGGTGAGTGGATCATGAAAATTCAAGAGGCTGGCCCACCCTGCTGCCTCTGCTAGAGCTTATGGGCAGAGTCCCCTCTTGTCCACCTGACCTCGTCGTCACTTCAGTAGACCATGAAAATAAAATGTCAACTGGGCCTCTCTCTTCAAGACCGAGAGAGACTACAGGGACCATAAGGAGTTGTGGAACATGACCGTGGCACCTCAGCGTAGTAAACGAGGCACAGGCACATAGACTAGAACCATCGAGGAGGATCAGACACCAGGGCAGAGGGAGAAAGCCCCTGTTTGCAGAGGACTAGGAAATGTCCACAAACATCAGAACTACAATCCAGTCCCATGGCCTTTGAAGATTCTTATGACAGTCAAGCTCCCCAGGAAATGGGAAGGGCTCACTCTGGTCCGTTCAAAAGAACAGTGTGAAATTCCCAGCGTCCTCTGCTCTGGGACCTGAGCTGGTGACCCTGGGATGACTGAGCAGTCAGGAACAGGAGGAGTGCGGTAAACAAAAGCCAAGAGGGTGGAGGCGGAACGAAATCCTCTGGGAACTTAGAGAAGAATCTTCTAAATTCAGTTGTGTTTTGAAAAGATTAGCTAATTTGAAAAAAAGGGGAAAAAAAGAATTAAACTTATTCAATCACAGCCTGCCTCTCTTACCAACCTTGAATGTTCCCCTGAGGAATCCAAAAATGACTGCATCACAGCTCTGCTATGTGAGAAGCATTTTTTAACGCCAAGCATCACCGTCCCCCACGTAGTTGTCATGCCTCTCTCTGTTCGAACCCAGTTTCCCTCAGCCTCTCAGCTGCGGCTGTCCCAGAGAGGGGCTTCCCCAATACCCTGTGGCTATTGGGAAATCGCCAGGTGCGTGCACAGCTGAAAAGAGAGTCTTTGCTCAGGAGGGAGGAAAGGAAGACATCTAGGATGAGTTGTCTGACAGTAGACGCTGTGGTCCCTCTGCTCTGCTCGGACTGACAAGAACGCACCTGAAACACTTCCGGCTTTTAGACAAAGGGCTTGGACCCATCTCTGGGTGAATCTCAAACTGTAAACCATGTATTCCACATACAGCCTCCTCATCTCTTAACAATATTTTAGACCAACCCTTAGCTAATGACTTGACAAAATAGATCATGCCTGTCCACATCTGTTCCAACTCTAGGGGAAAAAAAGCATTAACCTGCTCAATACAAACCTCAACTGCTTACCCTGGTGCAGTGCAACTTGCCCTCAATAAACTGCACAGATAGGGGAAGGCAGGGACTCTCATCCACTGCTGGTGGACCTGTAGGTATGTACAGCCACTATGGAAATCGATCTGGCGATATCTAAAACCGACCCAGCCCTCCCCCTACTGGGCATCTACCCAGAAGAGGCAAGAAACAAACCACAGCCAGACATCTGTGCTCCAATGTTCATCGCGGCACAGTTCACAATTGCAAGGAGTTGGAAACAACCCAAATTTCCATCAACTGA